TTTCATGAATGCAGAATAGTCCTAGTAAATGCAAGATGTTCATACTCCGAAGCTATAAATTTCCCCAAATGGTTGTAAATCCAGAAAAAAAATGTACAGGTGTAATGAAAAGCAGAATTTGAGCATAGAAAATCTGCTGGATGCTTTGAATAAACTTGTTCAGATGCATGTTTCCTGCAAGACTAAGCATTGAGCTCAGTGCTTTCAGCACGAAGCATGAAAATGAAACTTGAACAGCTCATAATTCCTAAGAAACTTGGTGATTTCCTTTTAAAATAGTCACTTGCTGTAAGATCAGCCTGAGGGCTGCGTTATTGCTGCATGTTTTGAACTGACTGTGAGAGTTGGACTGCTGCTGCTGCTGTCATGCAAACATAGAAGAACTACTTGGTCTGTAAAACCTTGGATATCTTGGCTGTCATCATACTCTGACTCTTCCAATGGTTGCGTAAAGATCTGATGTGAGTAGAATGCTGCTAAAATTCAAAACTGTATTTACTGTATTTCTTATCTGGTGGATTACTGATTTTTTGTTTTTTACTATGTTCATAGGAATTGTTTAAATGAAGTTTGTTTTCAAATGATTATGAGGAGGTGGACTCTGGTTCTGAATGTGGGATAGAGTAAGTCCCAGGTCCAGATAACATCAAAGCCTGGAGAATAAAGAATTTTTTAAGTAAACTTATGAGTCTTCCAACTCCACTGTTCACAGGTGAAGGCAGAATGGTAGTGCTGAGGGGTTCTAAACCTAGGGAAATGGCATATTCTTGTTTTAAATCTTTTATTCTGAATTTTAGGAAATAGCTGTTAAGAGGGAAAAAAATCTCTATTTTATTATTTTTCAATATCTAAATATCTCTGCTTATTTTCTTTTGAATGTTATTAACTCCGTGTCACAGTAAGGTTGCTTTGATTTTGCAACATTTCTAGACAATTTCACTTTTTGCTGCTCCATGACAAGCACTGACTAACTAGGTAGAAAATATTTTTTTGTGGTTCTCTGAAAAATATTTCTGTAGAAGTTTGGGATATAAAAAAAGAAGTGAAGCATGTCACTGAGAAGTGATAATCTGTGTTATTGCTGCTGACAAATTTTCAGTATTTGCCTTGTGTGGTGAAAATTTTTTTATTTGAAGCTGTATTATTGCATTTATATATTCATTTTTTTCTATACATATATATTTGTGCTGCTGCAGTTGAAGTCAAACAAAATAGTGACAATGAAATATAACAAGTGACATATAAATAGTAAGAGGTTGTTAGGAATTAATCACAGAGGAAAGCAGGGAAGTGAGAAACGGCGTCTTTGCACCTGAAAGCTGAAGCGTGAGAAAAGCGGATTAAAATAATGCAAACAAGGTGTCACAGGTGAGCACCAGATGTTAAGCAATGGAACCAGCAAGGGACTGAGTGTGTAGTGAGGTGGGCTGCGAGTGCCTGTGCATGGTATGAGGAGCAGAGAAGGCAAGAGCAGGTGCGAGGGTGTGCGGGTGAGATGAGCAAAGCGAATGATGCAGGAAGTGCCAGGATGGAACAGGGCAGGCCTGTGAAACAGACTGCTGAGCAAATGTAGCTTTCACGCTGTGCAGTGCTATATTTTTAATCAAACACCCGAGAAGGAAACGAAGTACCTTCTTTCCGTTGGCAAGACATAGTACGGATGCATTTTTGTACCCTTTTTTTTTTTTTTTTGCACTGAATCCTTCACTGTAACATTTCTGAGAAGATTGGTGCCAATCTCACCCTTCATCTCACTGGGACTCACAACCTGGATGTTCCCATCCCACCCAAAATATGATTCAGTAGGCATATGCATGCCAAAAATAGCTACCCAAACTGTAACTGTTTACTCGATTGCTCCATGTTTTAAGATTGTAGAGGTTGATGCTCCTCCACTTTACCAACTCTTCTGCTTCCTGAGAGCATCCTCACACATACAGTTCTACCAAGACAAGCACTTCTTTATTTCTCTCTGTAGAGGTGAAGTATATATTTTATGTTGAAAATTGAATAATATGCTGAAAACAATGTTGTGGCCCACAGCATACAACTTGTGCAGTTCAAAACAGGAATTTTTTTCTAAAAATTCTGAGGGAAAAGAAAAAAAATCTTTCTCAGCATTTATAAGGATGATTTCGGGCAACTACTTGAGTTTCTGCATGAAATGATGCGCTCGATTGACACTTGTTGTTGTTGTTGTTGTGGCTGAAGATCAGAGTTATAAGTTCTGTGAGTATGTCAGTTTTGGCCAGAACTAAAGACATGATCAGTACAACTGAAGGTGATCAGTACAACTGAAAGGAGACAAGATACGCACAGCATCCTTTTGATCTAGCAGTGGAATTTTAATAATTGGTTATCACTACCCTCTGGTTTTCTTTGAGCATTTGCCATGTTTCTTTTGGTCCATGAAAAGTTAAGTACGGGTTTCAAGTAAGCACTTTCAGTAAAGTAAAAAAAAAAAAAAAGCTTTACAAAAAGGGAAGATTATTTTCCTCTTGTTTTCCATTCATGTAGTCCCATCTTTGTTTTCATTGTTCCCACTCAGATTTTCGGTCTTGGACTTCACATCCTCTTTGGAACTACAAGTCATAAAAGACATTATGGATTTTAGATGTATGGCCCTATGACTTACATCACCTCAACACTGTGCAGCTTCATTTTCACAATTACACAGCATTGTGTGAAAACTTGCTTTCTCTTCTGCAGTTAGTCTGGTAAATTCATTTATTAACAGCTCCCAAACTGCCACTGAAATGTCAGGCTACTTCCCCACGTGCTCAGATGTGGATTCCAGTCCCTAGTTTTGCTGCTAGGACCAGCAGGTGCTTGTTTCTGTGGTGCAAGGTTTGTCATGCCCCTGTGAAGTTGTAACACACAAATGATGGATGTGCATTAGAAATGGCTTTTTGCCTAAAGGAAACTTGATGTAGCCCACTGAAAGTGAGACAATGCTGTGCACTAACTTGTTTAGATGGCAGAGCACAATGATCTTTGGAAGACAGGCCATTCCTATGCTCTACAAAAATAGGGAGCAAAGGAGGCTTATTCAGGAACAGGTTTGCTAGAACAAGCTCAGAAAAACACACTTTCCATGTGCTGATGCAGAGCTTATAGAAATTCCCTTATGATGCCTTACGTAGCTATACTATTAAATTGTGTTGGTAGGTTACACTGAAGTTGATGTCTCTTTGTGAGAAATAAAGAACAAAGTAAGATGGCTTGCAATGTAGATCTTTACAGATCCTCAGAAACACCCCATGACTTTGTTTCCATAACACAAATGAGAATATTTCCTTATCTGGGGTTTTCTAGTAACTTACGGTATATGTCATGTTCTTACGTTAATCCATCTGGTCTGGCAAGATTTGCTCTAATCTGATATTTAATAATTATGATTGTTATGGGACTTTAGTTATCCACTTCCTTAATTTTGTTCTATCCTTTTACTCTTGGTGATACATATATTTTAAAAATACCTCATCCTCTACCTTAAACAAGATAAACAAAGGCTATAAGGGCTGAACAGGATATTGGTTTCTGCATCTAAGAAATTAAGATACTAATTCTGGATATTGCTTATTAGCTCCTTTCTCATACAGATAAAACAATTAGGGTTGCTACACATCAGTTTCATCTCAAGCAAGTCTTCTGATAAATGCAAGTAGTTTTCACTTGCATATAATAAACTTCTTAGTGTCATATGCTCATCCACCTTTATGGATGAGAACAAAAATCAAGGCCTGAATTTCCATGATGAGTCCATTGATTTTGGCTGCTAAATATGACAACGCCTTGAGCATGACTGAGGTGCTAAGAGCAGTAGCGATCAGAAAAATGCAGCAGCTGAGAAAATTAGAGACAGAGTGCTTCAAGCTGAGCTGCGAATGCAGGAGGAAGTAAAATCTGAAACCCTCTCCAGTATGTCTAGCTCTTGGGAAGTCTAAAATTGCTCCTTCTCCTCTTTACTTCCTTATGCTTATTTCTACATCTCTTTAAGTTTTCAAATTACATTGCTGTATGCTGATTTATTTGAAATAATCTTTCCTTCTTATTTAGTCATTAGTTCTGTTATAAACTTTGTAACTTTTTCTCAGTTATGATTATTTGTATATGAAAGTACAACTAAGAGTAGTACAGTAGTATAGTAGTACTGTAGTACAGTACTACAGTAGTAGCAGTGCAGTTGTAGTAGTACAGTAGTACAATTAACAATCAATAACAGTTTGATTGTTACTGATACAGGAAGAGATTATAAACATGGTCTTTCTTCTTGCTAATACATTATTTGAGGGTTGTTTTTTTATACTCTCAGTAATTTGAGGTACTTTGTACATGTCAGGTACTTCCACATGTAAAGAGAAAAAACAGCATTTAGCACTAAAATCTAATTCCCTCTGAAACGGACTGCTAATTTAGCTGGCCTCAAGAGATCCAGATCCTTATACTCAACTGCAGGTATCTGCTGGCCTTGAGGCTAAGGAACTCAGTAAATATTTTCAAAAGCATGCCAAAGAGAGTTGAAATAAGATCAGTGGTAGTTATCATTTAAAGAGCTATGGTGTTAGCAGAGGCAGTTTTAAAAGGCTGCTTGTACAGGCTTATAAAGCTTTTCTGAATGAAATCAATTCTTTTTATTTGAATAATCAATTCTTTATATTATTCAGAGATGCAGTTCAAATGAGAGACTTTATAAACCCTGTCCTGGCAAATTCCTCCTTACTGTCTGAAAGCTACAGATCTTGAAAACCTAAAGGGTAAAGTTGTAGAAACACTTTTTTATTCTTCTTTCAAAGCCATAGCTCAGCGTTTCATATTCCACACGTATGCATGGGTTGTTTTAACGAGGACTTCCATTGTTTCTAGTGTAGATAGAAGTGTAAATACTTCCATTTTTTGCTGATTTTAACTGTGATAGCTTTTTGCAGAGTAGGGTGGCTTTTGCTAGTTTTTGAAAGCTAAGCTGTGATTCTTCATTTGTTTCAGATTCACTTGACAAAATGTGTGGAATTGTGACAGTCCTGTTCCTGGAAATGCAGCTCAGTGTGGTTTCAGGTGAGAGGGACCGCCATGCAGTCCCACTGGTAGGACCACTATAATGACACCACAGCACCCTCAGCACATGTCTTTCAGCACCTTCAGTAGCACTTCCATGCACAGCATCTGGTGCCTGTGTTTCACGCTGCCTTACAGCAGCATTTTGTGTTAGTCAAGCAGAGGCAAAGATGCATTAAAAAGAGCGTCTATGAGGAGAGGCTGAGGGAGCTGGGCCTGTTCAGCCTGGAGAAGAGAAGGCTGAGAGGGGATCTAATCAGTGTCTATAAGTACCTCAAGGGAGGCAGTGAGGAGGATGGGGCTGGCCTCTTTTCAGTGGTGGCCACTGATAGGACTAGAGGAAATGGCCACAAACTGAAGCACCAAAAGTTCCACAGGAACTTAAGGAAAAATTTTTTAACAGTGAGGGTGACAGAGCCCTGGAACAGGCTGCCCAGAGAGGTTGTAGAGTCTCCTTCTCTGGAGATCTTCAAAACCCGCTTGGATGCAGTCCTGTGCCACATGCTCTAGGTGTCCCTGCGTATGCAGGGGGGTTGGACTAGATGGACTCTAGAGGTCCCTTCCAACCCTAAGCATTCTATGATTCTATGATTCTATGATGTCCATCACTTTCCCAAATCTGTCTTCTTTAAAACATAGCATGTTGATAGAAGAAGCGTCCACAGTTATCAGGCATGGCAGGGAAAGACCATGATCAAAGCAGAATAAGACTGTTGAAAAGTAGGGAAGCCTCAGTGCTAGGTGCACAGAAGGACAACCATATGTATCCCCTTGTCCATCTCTCTGGCCTGGGCCGAATTTAGAAAAAAGGTGTTTTGCTATACAGATACAACTCACATGGTAAAAATGTGTGAATAGAAAGAAAAAAATACTTAAAACATATAGTCAGCCCAGTAACTATATGTGTGTGGCCAGTGAAAAAACAAGGGGTAATGGGTACAAGTTGAAACACAGGCAGCTCCATCTTCACGTGAGGAAGAACTTCCTGACAGTGAGGGTGACAGAGCCCTGGAACAGGCTGCCCAGAGAGGTTGTGGAGTCTCCTTCTCTGGAGATCTTCCAAACCTGCCTGGATGCCACCCTGTGCCACGTGCTCTGGGTGTCCCTGCTGGAGCAGGGGGCTGGACTAGGTGATCTCTAGAGGTCCCTTCCAACCTCAACCACTCTGTGATTCTGTATGATTCTGTGACTGAATGCCATTTTTAGCCCATGTTGAAAGGCAACATATTTTAGTACAATAAATGAAACATATTTTAGTACAATAAAACTTATTTTCTTTTCCTCCTTAGCTTTATTTACAGTTGAAGTTCCTCAGCAGCTATACGTTGTGGAGTATGGGAGTAACGTGACCATGGAGTGCAGGTTCCCAGTGAACGGCTCTTTGAACCTTGGACTCCTAAGTGTTGTCTGGGAGCAGAAAAAGCAAGGTCGGCTCTTATCAAAAGAGGTTTACACACTTCGCAATGGGAAGCCATTCCCTTTATCCCAGCATCACGATTATATAGGAAGAGCAGCGCTGTTGCACAGTGAATTGAAACGGGGGCGAGCTCTGCTTCAAATCACCAATATAAAGATCACAGATGCAGGATCGTACCTCTGTCTCATTGAGTACCAGGGTGCTGACTACAAGTACATTACTTTGGAAGTAAAAGGTCAGTGACCAAATGGAATAGAAAAAGTCTTTAGATTCCTATATGTTTGTAGGAAAAGTTTATTATTTGTTCTCTCACCATGCCCCTGTGCTCAATACCAAAGCAGCTATCTTAGTGTGATCTACTCTTAATCTGAAGCTCAAGGGACAGATGAGCTTCTCCAGGGTTTGCCCATGTCAGAGAGGAACGGTGGCTGCTTTCCCCCTCCATCCTTAACCCTTTAATTCACCTGTGAGTCTCCTTGGCTGGGAGTTCCCTGAGCAATCACACCTCAGGGGGCAAGCACATGTGATTTGCCATGACAAAGCCAAACAGACATTAGTAATGAATGACTGTGTGATTGAGCACCCTAGTAGACCAAGGCTTTGAAAAGTCTACACTGTTACCTTCTGAGAGCGTGAAATCACAGTGATTCAAGGGAGCAGGATTTCCCCCTCAGGATCTTAAATAGAGAATTTTGTCAAATGCAAAAAAAATTGATGCAGTCATTTTTAAGACTTTTTAAGGTTGTTCCAAACTGTCTTTACAGAAATTCTAATATCATACTCTTTTCATATGACAAAAATGTCACATCTGTTAATAATCTGCGGTGACATAAACATTAAAAATATTCTTTTTGTTGAGGTAACCTGAATTACTTCTATTGTACTACAGGTATTATTTTATATATTCCAAAAGAGAACTAGGTTTCACTGGTATCTGTGTCAATAAATTGCAAATTCAATGTCAAGTACTGCTGTACTGGCTTCTACAAAGTATAATGGACTGAAGTTCAGTGGCAGCAGGCCTGGGAAGGATTAAGAGTACTGAATTATGCTGCAGAACAACATCTTTATAAATGAGAAGTACCTCAAATAGACAAAATATGGCAATAAGGGGAAGGAGGGAAAGGGAAGGAGGGAAATGACTATAGTTGCCTAAAATAATTTCACTCAACCTGTTCTTACACAGCATCCTACAAGAGAATTAACAAACAGATAATGAGAAAATCAGACGAAGATCAGTTTGTTTTTATGTGCCAGTCAGAAGGCTTTCCTCTGGCAGAGGTATTCTGGCAAAATGAGAAGAAATTTAATCTCAGTGGATCTGCAAATACCACCTATACCTTGACTGCAGACGACCTGTACAACGTAACCAGTGTCCTGACGGTCAGACCAAATCTGAGTGAGACCTACAGCTGTATATTCTGGAATAAAGAACTGAATGAACAAACATCAGCTCACATTTCTACTTTAGGTCCATATCTCACCTTGAACTTGTACAAGAGGGGCTTCCCAAGCATGTATGACAGAGAAAGTAGAAAATAACTATGCACTTTTATACTGTACACTGCTCTATAACCCATCACCAGTATTTAGTTCTAGAAACCAGTGTAATAAATAACATACTTTGAGCCCTAACAAGCCAGTCTCTGTCATCTTTCTGTGTATTTTAATTTCAAGGTAACTCCCATTATTTGGCTACCAGTATGGTGGAGGTTTTTCAATCTTCCCTGACCTAGACTTCTAATTCACTGTTCTTCAAAGGGGGGGACAGAGAAATTAGTACTCATTCCAACGCTGCTAGATGTGGGAGACTTCACTGACTTACTGTAAAATTTCTTGTTGTAATATCACAGGATAGATTATTCATAAAATGAGTGCAAAACACTGATAATTTTTCAGAATTTTTGTCCTGTCAGGGAAAGACCTTGGAGAATCAGGACAGATAAATTATAAATTATACCTCTTTTGAGTTTTAAATTTACTTACTTTTGTCTGCTTTTCCTGTTTTTAACAGCTTTAATGAGCACCCAGTATAGTGGACAAAAATCACTAGTCTTATTTATCATCCCCACATGTGTGATAGCTGCTGTTCTTCTCTCTGCATTAATAATCCTTCAAAAGAGAAAATCATTCAAGAACTGCAATGCCAAAAAAGGTACGTTTTAGTTCAGTAAGATCTTCTTTCTTATTCCTTATTTTTCCTATGAATGATCTTTCAGCAGTTTTAATACCTTTAGATATACACCTTTGACTGTGGTGGTGTTTCATTTCCAGAAGAGCTCTGTTGTAAAATGACATCTTTCCTCGTTTGATTTGGGCTTTATTTTCCCACCTTGCTAGGTGAGACAAGGTTTATAGGAAGACCTTTTTTTGTTTAATCTGACCAGCTGCTCTTCTGTAAAAAGAAGAGCAGACAAGCTTTGTTTCAGGTAAAATGGGCCTGTAAACACAAAGCTTGTCTGTTTTTCTGCAGCTGTACCAGTGAATTTAGTGGAAGGCACTAGCTCTCCCTGCAAACTTTGTCTCCCTGTCACTAGCATGGCATCAAGACTATAAAGACATGTGACTACAACATACAACACAGAACTTCTATTTCTGTTCTGCAGTAAGGCTATCTAACTAAGACTGTACGCTGTTGCACATGTTATTCTGCATTGAGCTATTATGCACCATGTTTGCTTTCTTGCTTTACTAGTGAAATAGTGGAAATGCAGAAAGGTGGTTATTCAGTTCTTTTCTTGCATATGAATAGACGCCAATAAGCTCATATGAATATAATTATTCTCATAAACTGGCATCATGAAACAAATTTGCTGTCAAGGACTTCAGTATTGGTTCTAGAGTTGTAAAGAAAACTAGAAAAAAGTTCACTATTAACTCATGCTAAATATACAATCTTAAACATTTTCAGTTTAATCTAAAAGCTTGTTGAACTATAGTGTTTCTTTCAAATTTAGAAATGGTTATGTTTAATTTGTTTACATTTACTTTAACAGGCAGGAAAAGAAAACTTCACCAGAAAGACGAGGACTGGTAAGTCATAATTTTTTTTTATGTTTATGCTCACAGCTTTTTCTCTGTTACAGGTAAAATCAATATAAATTGATAGACATCAATTAAAGGCAGAAAAACTACATCAAAATACAAGCTAGTTTCCATTTAAATTTAAATTTTCTAAAAATAAGTATCAGTAATTTCTAAGCTCTAGAGGCAAATTTATGATTTTCTTATGGGTTGTATTAAGTTTACATATGTTTTTCCCTTTTACTGAGATATCAGTACCCTGCACATATAGCTCTATGTCCTGCAATGAAGTTGTAGTAGCCTTAGAGGACTAAGGTACAACCAAAAAGTTGGTTGATTGGGAAGACAATCCCAAGAAATCTTGGGATCTTGTCCTCTGCTAATAAATCTTTAAAAAAGAGAGAGAGAGAAAAGAGAGAAATGTGAACACTCTTAAAACTTAAACCTGATATAAATCACTTTTGTTGGGTATAAGTAAAAGTCTGTCAGACTAAAGCATTGCAAGTAGGGAGGTTGTGGTCCGTGTTAGGTGCAGCTGCACAGGTGTAGTAGATACAGCTCTAGTTCTTGGTGTGCAATCAGGGGGACATTGGTGGGGCTATTTGGGGCGCAGAACCCCAAGGTAGACCCCAACAAGACCCAAGGTAGCCTAAGGTGCTCCAGGAATTAACACAAGGGATTTCCCCCAGTCAAAGTGCAAAGAGTCAAACTATCAAAACTGTGACACAGCCGATGGAGTGGCCTGCGGAAACACCACAGATTCTGGACACACTGATAACCTCAAGCTTCTTTCAAGGTCAGGGTTTACTTGAAAAGCTACCATAGTATCTTGCTATGAAAAAAAAACAGAAGTCACAAGAACTTCCTTAGGAGAAATGAAAATTAGGGATTGGACTGTAGAAAACAAAAGCTGTTCACTGATTCTCACTTCATCTCAAACGGTATTGCTTGTGTCTTACCCCAGCTGTCCAATTCATGGACACTAAATATATAGCATATTAAAAACAACACTTTCAGAAAAACGCTTTCATCCTTCAAAAACCAGCACCTACTACAGTCAAAAGCATTTTTATATTTTGCATATGGTGGTGTGAAACTTCCCTGGAATTATGCTGTGTGTCAATGAACTAAAGTTCAAGCCAAGCAGTGAGTTGCAAGATAGCTTTGGTGCATGTCCAGACATCATTCCAGTGCATGTTGCCTCAAAACAGCGTGGCTTCCTGTGGATTTCTTTTTACCATTATAGTATTTTTTCTCTTCATGGGTCCTGGCCTCCTCTCCATGCTCAGTGAAATGAAGAAATTAAAGGACACAAGCTGCTTTTTGTGGTTTTTTTTTTTACTTCTTCATTTTAATGACCGAAAATCTTTGCGCAACAGGCAGTAAGTCATATGACAAACTTATATTTCTCAGCACCATATATTTTTAAGAAACACTGGAAAGAACCTTTCTTCCATGATGAGTATGTAGTTAAAGCATAAAAGCCACAGATATTTTACCAGAGAGCCTTGGAAATGACCAACATTGTCCTACTTACAAGAACAAGGATTGTTCATGTTGGTGTTTTAAGTTACAGGTCAAGCTGCATCGGCATGGAAGATGTAGTACATTTCACCTAATTACTCAAGTCCCAATTCTGTAAATGTTTCTATTGACATAGATTTTACTGACAAATGTTCATGTGAATGCTATGTAACCAGACTGCAGTTTTGGTATTTCATCTGTATAGCTGATAATCAACGATAGCTTTGACATAATAGGAAATTCAGAGTTTGGATGAGAGATAAGAAAGAAGGATGGAAGGTAAACATGGATAATTCTTCCCTCTGAAATGATAATAACAGTATGTCTAGGTAATTAATGGCTACTTTAAAGGGACTCTGTACTTCAGCATGGCATAAAAAAATCGCATATAATGAAGACCAGGCTGTCACTGTTTATCATTCGGTAGTTAAAAACAGGGTATTTATTTATTTGTTTGTTTAAATAATTGTAGAGATTTTTAAAAATAATAGTTTTTTTTCTTTCTTTTTTTAAGGGGAAAATTATAACTGTCAAATTCAGGTTTTATGCATGTCAAGTGTCAGAGTACCAGGGGATGGCAGGAATGTGAATCTGTGAAAACTCTTCATGTGACATAGTTTGCACTTTTTGTCTCTATTTTTGGGAACTTCAGAGAAAATCTGCAGCACTTTAGCTTTTAAATGAACAACGAATTCATGGGGATTTATTGGCATGGCAGCACTGAAAAAGCTATGCCTTTTAAGACACTGTATGTGGAAGTTACGGGGAATTATGCTGTCATTAAACGTGGTTTACCATGGTGAAGGGGTTATTTGACTGCCTTTCTTACACTTTATTTTTGGAGATACTCTTACTCAACGCATTTTTGTTATGTTGCCTGGACTGAAGCATCTTGTTGAATAAAAGCTGTACATGTTTCATGTGGAGACCTCATTACATTCTTATATATCATGTCCAAATTTTCCACACTTTAATCTGGAAATTTGCGCAAGTACTCAACAGCAAAACAGCATATGGAATATGTATCATACCACAAAGCCAATGTGAAGTCGAATCAAAGGACAGGCAAAAAAGACCCAGCTCCAACAGTAGATAAACATTATGTTGCAGAAAGAGAATTTCATTGTATAGGCTATATAAAATCCTGTATAGCTACTTCTAATTTGTGGTTTTGTGGTAATATTGAGACATCTTTAGGGAGGTAAGTAGACAGGTGAAAAAATATGGTGTGTTGTTTTAACTACATGACAATAAAAGATTTTACATCTTGAGCTGATTACTCAACAGTATTTTCTTTAGAAGAAATTCAGAATAAAAAGTGAAAGCGAAGTTCTGCCAGGTTTCTATTCCAATTACACTGGTTTAACTTTTTCTCAATGGGAGAGATGAGTATTTTCAACGCCAAGCATTGATCTTTCTTTTCCTTTCCATTACAGAAATACCTAAAAATTCCTTATTCAGTTCTGAATACATTTTCTACAGGGAAATACAGTGGTAGACTTGAAAAAAATACGAACAGGAAACAACAAGTTGTCATCTCAGATAGTCATAACACAGTAAACGAAAGACTTCAGGTAGGATTTGATATGTTAATGGTCAATGGCACTAGCATTTATGAGCTCTCATTAGAAGAATGCTATGAGATTGAAAAGACAGGTGTTCATGTGGGAACTATTTTGGCATAATCCCTTGGAAGAATGCTGTCTGTTTCACTGCAAAACAAACAAAAAATAGATCATTACATCAGCAATGTCAAGATTTACTATTTAGCACTGAGCTGGGGGAGCTACTACTTACTACTGACCATGGGAGCTGATTCTCCCATGTCTTGTGTAGCTATTTATTCCAACACAAACTGAACTTACAGCACTGCTTTAAGATCAAAAAGACACCATTCATATCCCCTTCTGTTTGGCCATGATAGATGACTTTCAACAAATAAATAAATAGGTAAATAAAAAAAAGCAGGGCTGGTGTTGAGCAAGAGAAAAATAAGCATTTCTCTATAGTTACCTCTACTTCCATATTGAATCCTTAAATATGCAGTTGTACCTGTTTGGATTTACCAGAGATCAGCCCCAAACCAGACAGATTCCTTGCTGATATAGCAAATCATATAGGATGCCAGGGAATCAGAGGCAGCTTCTTGAAGCATTGTGTAGCTTTACGTGTAGCACAGAGCAGCCTGGGGACTGGCCTAACTTGTACTGTCTAGCAATACTCTAAAGTCAACGTGCAGCACGTTTTAGTCTCAAGCAGTTTCTTGCCAGGCCAGATTTGCACTCACACAGGACCAATGAGCCACTTTCACCTTCTTAGCCAATGTGAAAAATCTAGCTCACTGTGGTCATGCATAATTTTTGCATTTTTTTTCTATTTTTTCTCACATACTTGTAAAATGGAAGTAATTCAAATTATATTGTGCTGTTTCTGTGGTGAACATAAGCAGTATGCAGCCTCTGTAATTTGACTATGGTGAATATCATTGTTTCTTATTAAAATGAAAGTCTTCTTGACATTAATGTGATTTGCTGAGTATCTTTTGATTTGTGGTGGATAGGGAACAACCGGTGTGAGCATCACTTGCTGCCCATTTCACATGCATAACAAATACCCTGGTTTAATGTGTTTTTTTCACTGTATGGTTTCACCTCGTATTCCTAGGCAGAGGCAGCTCAGCTTTTCACTTCAACCCTATGTCCTTTCCACTCTATTTCACATGATAGAGAGAAGCAATATTGCTATTCACTGTGATACCTATAAAAATATCTAGAAGTGTATCTTCATTTGTATGTTTGTATTCTCACTGACTCTCACTGCATATGTAGGGTGCAATAAAAAGAAAGAAACCGGGATGATTCTCACATCTTAGAAAGTGAAAGTTAGCTTGTCAGCTGCTTGTGCAGCTGATTTAATGCATGAGTTATTTTTTAACAGTAAACCAGAAAGCATATGATATATGTGTGATATGATGAGTTTCTGTTCTTTCTGCTTCAGCTACTGCTTCACAAGCTGACATCTTAAGCAGCTGACAAAACAGTTTTCTGATAAAGTAGCTGCAAAACATTTAGAGTTCCTTTTTAAGAATAATATTGAAATTTACAGTGGGCCATCTGGAATTAGATCAACATTAGGAAAATTTCGGTTGCTATATAAGCATTGATCTATAGATACGATCTTTAAAACTTACATTCCAAAATGGTCATCTTAGTCTAGCGTAGTGGGTACCTTGAACAGTAAGCTTCCATTATCTTCTTAACGTGCATTTCCTTTATTCATCTATGTACATTTGTCCCACTTAAGTGAATACCATAAACAAAAACATGTTAGCATACTATAAAAAGGTACTGAAGAAAGAAGAGAGATTTCTAATGGCCATATGAAGCATGCGTATTAAAAGTTGCACACTAGAAAATCTATCTGCTGTTTCTGATCACAGCTAGCACCTGGAAAATTACCTTTGAGAGATTCAGTTTGCCAATGGACAAAATACTTATTCTTAAGAAACTACGAAGTCATCTCTTTTCCAAACAAATTTCTTACTTCAGCTGGCAGAAA